TGCTGTTAAACAGGAAGACATTAAAAAATGTATGCAGCATGTCAAGGGCTGTAAAGCGGTGTTAAGGGGTTAAGCTCCGAGGGGACTGATGTGACAGTAGGCTCACACCCACGCGAAAGCACACACACACACACACACACATATACACAGCTATACAGAGGGAGAAAGAGAGGCCACTCAATGTGTGCCCGTTGTCAGTGTGTGCGGATCGTGTATGAAACATGTTTGGCCCATTCATTCGCTCATTCATTTATTCGCAATTTCTCTCCTTCCCCTTCTTCTTCTTCTTTACTTTCTCCACACTGCCCCCCTTGCTGCTTTCTCCGCTTTTCTCCGTCAGCGGAATGTTGACTTATCTGTGATTGCTTCGCCGATATTGTTGTTCTTGCTGTTCTATCTGTTGTCGCGTTTGGCATTATTTGTTTTATATTTGACACTGACACACCCACGCTCAACCGCTCACCCGCTCACCCACTCACCCACTCACATACTCACCCACTCACTCACTTACACGCACACACTCACAATGTCTGAGCCATAAAAATGAGACTGCGAATTGCAATAAAATAAAATAAACTGTCGCGCAATATATTTTTTTTGCTCCTTTCCCACCACAACCCAATCAGTGCTGACTGTTTCTAGGCTGGCTTAGTGCACAGGGACTTCTCTTCGATATAATAAAATAGTCTACATTACAAAAATAAAACAACAAACAACAACAAAATTAAAAATATATTTTTTTAAATTAATAAATTTATATTAAAACCACTGAAATTAAATAACTTTCGTGCTAATATTAACACAAGCATTACAAAACATTACTGGGGAAAACATTTTCGCTATTAACCTGCATAATTAATTAAGCCTTTGAGCTTATTATTTATAACAATCTGGGAAAGTCCCACCAAATTAGTTCCCCCATTTGGGGCAACACTGCGAGACGCGCTGAGCCCATAGATTTTCGGCGGCACGTGTGGCAAATGATTATAGTGGCCGACCGGCCGGCGAACACACAATTCCGGGCATACAAATTATGTAATAATAATAATACAACAGAGGACGTGTCATCTATCATGGCTAAAGCGTTTTTGCGGAGAAAAGAGTGGGGAAGAGTGGGAAAGTGTGCGGGGAGTTTGAATGTAATGCAGGCCAAGGGTGTTTAATAAAGTTAACAGCCAACGGCCAATGGGGCACGATGCGGGTCAAGCAAATAGGAGTCGGGTGAGCGAAACACAAATGGCGGTTCGGTTCAGTCGAACGACAACGAATCTCTATCCGCATTGCATAGCCATTTGTAATTCAAAATGGCAACCGGAAGTGGCAGACGAAGCCATTACACGGATGGTAATAGTTTATGGTCTGGCAGCGCTGAAGGTCAACGGCGCAAAGAAGGTCAGAGTGGGTGGGCACCAAATGGTGGCACACACTCGGTATTTGGTCGGTGGCCCCTCTTTATTTGCCGGAGATTTATGTGGGGCAACCACCGAGTGTATGTGTTCCTGCCCGTTTGCATTCACTTATTGATTGCAGAACACGGAGAACAGAGAGCGCAGCATTTGCGATTGCCAGGATGTGTATGGGGTACCATATATTGCTCCTTTGACCACCCACTACTCTACAGCCACTTCCGACTCAATTAAGAGCGGCGAAAGTTCTCTCCCTACCTCGCGACAAATCCAATTAACAATAAAGCGCCGCCCTAATGTCATGCCACGCCCCAGCTTAAACCAAAAAAAAAAAAAAAAATAATAGCAAAAAAAACTAGCAACTTTTCCGCAGTTAGTTGGCTAAATGTGGGTTCTGCGGTGGCTCACTGCAGTTGGCCAAATTGAATCGCAGCTGTCAGAAAATTGCAGCGCGAAAACAACAAACACAACGCACGAGCGTATAAATCACAGCAGAACGAGGGGTGTGCTGGGTATTGTGGTGGGTATTTATTAGTTCAATGTTTTATATTTATGAGCACAAGTGTTAATTTTATTACCGCGTAACGGGGCGTATGTGTAATATTAATTACTCCCAGTAATAGACAATGAACGACTGGATTGTGTCAATAGATAATAGATAAGCCCACCGAAAAGCGTAGGAAATGCAAATATGTAGACATAAATTCGGGGATATAAGTGCTATACATCAACGGATGGGATTTTGAGGACGCCATTAGCCCGCAAAAGTAGGCAATGAAATAAGTTTTACGAGCTAAGCACACACACAAAATTGCCAATTTTCGGTGAATTTTAATTGAACGACGTCCTGTGGAGACAGGTGGGCAATGAGCACATCAAAAATAACTCTGAGGCCACAGCCGAGTATCCGAGTATCTGAGTATCCGAGTATCTGAATACCCGAACGAACATCCAGCGAATATCCAGCCATACAGAGCAGCCATGACAGCCATTCGAGATTCGAGAGTAAGCCGGCCGAATATCTTCATTATTGAATAATGAGCCAAGTGTCCTGGCAGGGCTTTAGCAGATAATCGATGGGAATTTTGCATAATGGTCTTGTCGCTGCCGACTTAATCTCATGACGATCGTTCCGACGAACTCCCAGTCGCCCAGTCACCCAGTCAGCCAGCCAGCCGTTCCAAGTCGCAAGCCCAAAGCCGGCAGGCAAACTTTTTGGCCCAACTCCAAGGTGACTTGATGGTCTGGCTGGGATTTTCAGATTTTCCTATTTCCAGACTCCCCACTCCCCACTCCCCACTCCCCCTGCTCTTCGCTACCCTCCCTTCGTGACACTGGGCGGGGCCATCGGCTTATTTAAAGACACACATTAGCTGGAAACAATCGAAACTTCCCACTTAGCAATTTGAGGACAAATTGTTTCATAATTGATTGATGTGCCATCAGGCCAAGTTGTCTCGAGAGCGGAGTTGTCGAGCATGGCAGCCGACAGATACGTATTTAAAGTCAAAGTAGCAACCTCTGTAAGAAATTGCAATCGCATTAAATGGGAATTGGGAACATTGTAGTTTGATGAGCACACAGAAAATAAATCGTTAAGGGAGATTTCACAGCTGTGGGTGGGATTTCTTAAGCATTTGCTTCCAAAAATTGTCACAGTCATTATATTTAGCCCCCTGATGGATATTAATAGTGAGAAAGCTAAAACAGAAGCTTTATCAAACCCTTTAAGTATGGTACATATAAAGCAGGAAGGGAAACCCAAGTCGAAAGCCACGCAGCTTGTCCTATAAATTTGGGGAAATGAAGGGCTTGCAATTATCCTCCGGGTTAGCCTGTCGCATAGATGGATTCCCGACCGCCGGCCCACTATTCTCCCCCCTTTCCCTTGCCCTGAGTCCTGCCGTATTTCTGGCGTTGTTGTTTGGTTTACCCAACTGCCAACCGCAGGTTGCCCTGCTTGTCTACTACACATTCACCGCTCCCCAGATTTCTGTCCCGATTTCCCGGCGCGTTTCCCTTTAACTACATGATGTCAAAATAATTTCAATGACACCCGCCATACAGTCGTGACTGGCAGCGTTGTGGCGTTGCAGAGCGAGCGAGTCGGCGATATTTAGACAGATTTTTGATAGCTCTCCCGGCGGCACTTTCTCCCCTTTCCCTCCTCCAGCGGCTGTCCGAAATTGAGTTTTGATTTCAAACTCAATTCACATAATGCGGGGGAGTTGGTGGGTGTGTGAGTATTTCGCTGCTGGTGATTGCTACAAATTCGATTGATTTAACGGCGCGTTTAATGTGAATGCTTTTGTGTTGCCGGCCAACCACAAGCCAAACTCCCTGCACCTCCCCTCTTTTTTTTGTTTTGGCTGCGGGTCAGCTACACAGCGCGTGTCTTTGTTTTTTTTTTTTTACAATGTTCAACTCGGAGCAGCCAGTGAATTGAATCTGCCAGGGAAAATCCGACAGTTGATACTCTTGCAGGGGGAGAAAGAGGGAGCCTGCTCGTACGTGACCATTGTTCTTAAGATCTGACAGAAATGGGCCTTCATTTTTTAAAGCTCGTTCTTTAAAGGATAACACACACATCCTACTCGTACTGCACATACAAAAATAATATCGCTCGCCTCTTTCATAATGACCAATAAACAATTCCAACTGCATTGTACAACATAGCACGTGCAAGCGTTAAAAAAATAAATCATTAATTATAAGTGCTTTTATTGTATATCCCCAATTAAAGAAAAATATTATTGGAAGCCACAAATTGCCGTGCCATGTGTATAATCCCCATTTTTTAGTTGAGCATTTCAAAATAAACACATTTCGATCCCGGAAATAAAATTACTTTCCCGCCTCTCTCGCTAGCCATTTCGAATTATTTTTTCAATTAATATTTTCTCCCCTCAACTTTTCGACCAGCATTTCAATTTACGTGCGAATTTTCTAGTAGAATGACCGTGTTCGGCATGTTAAACACGTTGGACGTGCATCTTAATGTCGTTTTTTTTTTTTTTTTTGGGCGGAAAGGGAAGAGGTGCGGAAGGACACTCAACTGCTTAGCCCCCGGGTTACTTATAACTAATTGAAATCAGACAGGAAAAAGGGCAGGCAGACGCATTGGTAAATTGAAAAAAATATATGGCCAGGCCGGGTGAGCAAAATCGATGCTGTCGGTTGACAGTTTGTTAATTAAAAACAGCAGCAGCCGTTCGTTGGGCGTTGGGTGGCGATGGGCGGTAGGTGGTAGGCGGTAGATGGTAGGCGGTAGAAGGGTGGCCAATGGCCAATGGCCAGTGGCCAGTGGAGCGGACATCTCTGGTCCGGCGGTCACTCAACGTCTCACGCACACACGCACACGTGCCGGGGTTCATGCACTTGGCAGGCTCGGATGGCAAACGTCAGAGTCCTGGCTAATAAATTGCTCGGAGAATCGAAGGACCGGCGACGAACAAAGGAATCGGATGGATGGATGGATGGATGGACGGGGACCAGGCGAACGGGCGAACGGGCGAACGGAGCGTATGAGCGATGGGTTCGCACGGTTCGGAGGGTTCGAAGGATTCGTCGGAGGAGGGGGCACTTTTCACTCACCTATCGTCGTAATTAATGTCAGGGAGTAGAGGAAGGCCGAGGCGTAGGTCCATTTGTGGGTGGGTGCATTCAGCTGGATGCCGCCGGGGGATACACCTTCGACTGGCGCACCGCCAGCAGCAAGGAGTCCTGCAAAGTGCCAAGGAAATGCTCGATTGGCGGACCAAATGGGGGAGATTCGGTGTCTGGTTGCTCACCTGAAAAAGCTGCACCTCCTGCGCGGCGAGGCGGGTCCAGTTCTCCTTGTACAGTATGTTCAGGTCCTCCGTTATCGACCACAAGCGATCAACGGTCCTGTAAATGAATATAAAAGCACAGATCACTCATCAGTAACTTTTTAGGGTAAGTGTTTTGAATATTCACCTGGATCTTATGTCCGCGTTGGCCAGTTCAGTGCGGGGAAACGGTTTGGAGGCAGCCACCGCAGTTTCCAGGGTGCCGCCGTCCTCCAATTCGCCCTCGAGGGTCACGAACACAATGGAGCCCATGGCGGTATAGAGCAAAACCAACAGAAGCACGCCTGCAGAGAAATCGAGTCATGATTTGCAAAAGAGCATCGCAATTTTGTACTTAATGTGTAAAACGAAATTGTAAATATTAATAATACAAAACACTGCACACATTTTTTGTGGAGCTGCTGGCTCTAAAGGATTTATTACTTGTTTACAAATCGATGCCAGATGCCGTGATTGAAATCATTGAGAGGAGCAGGCAACGGTTCGGATGAGGGAAAAAATGTGCATTCTATTGCATTTTCCAATCAAACTGATTGCGGCATAATAAAATACCAGCACAAAATATAACAAATTCTGGGTAACGAATGACAATGCAGAAGATGCACATTGTTATAATGCTCAAAAAATGAAATCAGGAATTTATGATAAATATTAATTTGTATGGATATTGGATTAAAATTGGTTTCACCTAAAAATTAAAACCCCTGACCACTGAATTGGAATGCAAACGGTGAGCACGGCAACACGAGGATTGTGTATATTATCCATACGCAGTGTTGCCATTGTTTGCAACATTGTTTGATGTTTTACAAACTTTTTGGGGCTTTAAACAAATAATAGAAAAGTTGCTACTAAAATCAAATGAAAATACACCCGATTTCACTCACCTGTGGCCGAAATGCAGTGCGACTTGGGCGCCCTTTGGCATCCGCACAGACTCCCGCCGCCACCGCCGCCGCCGCCCTCCCGTCCCGCCTGCTTATCCGCCTTGGAGCCGCCGCCCGACTGTCCGCCCGCCGACGTCTGTCGTCCGCCGCCGCGTCCGCTGGAGCCGTTCGCTGCTGCCGCTGCCGCTGCCGCCGCCGCCGTTGCCACCACGTTGCTGCTGCCGCTGGCGGTACAGGTTCCGCCACCGCCGCTGCCGTCGCCGCCAAGGAATGCCGCCAGCGGCAGAGGCGACTTTTTGTTCATTGTTCTTCTTCGGTTGCTGCTGGTGCTGCTGGGGGTGCTTTTGCTGCTGCTGCCTGTCGGATTGCCGTGACCTCCGACCTCCGACCCCTGGCCAATCTGCCAGTCAATCAATCAACCTGATCGAATCGAGAGAGCGAAGGTGTAAAGTTTCGGCTAAACGCGCTTCTCTTCTGCCCTTGACAACCAAATCAAACGCTTTGACGCAAACGCTTCATGTGCCACGTAATTTGCATCCCCTTTTTCGCCTTCGCTTGTGGGTGGGCGTGGCCGGGAGCGGGGGCGGGCGGGTGTTTGTCGATGTTATTATGTGACCGTCATAAAATGTTGTTATTGTTGTAGCGCGCCCTTTTACGATCCTGCGTTTTTTTTTTTCGGTCTTTCTCAGCGGTTCTTCGTTCTCAGTTCTCAGCAGTTGGGTGAAGGTGGAAGTGGAAGTGGAAGTGAGACAGCCTGTCACGCCGGATGCTGCAAATGCAAAATATTTTCATGAAAACCGGGCCAAAATGAAAACGAAAATTGCGTTGCGAGTGTTTCGAGGCGCAAATTGCATGGTAAACGCCGTGTAATTGAGTCAACAGCTCCAGGTTGGCACAGCAAAAAGTAATATCCCGGCCAACCGATTTCGCATACAGCTCATAAACACTTCGTTACCGATAAGTAAGCCTTAAATATTCAAGCAACCCCGAAAAAAAGGGAATATCTTGAGTTCTGTGAGCTCATAGGTATGAACATTTTATGCTTTCTCCTGAAACATTTAAAGTCCGAAAAGAACCCAGTCGCTAATTTAAATAACTTGCTGAAATAATAACCTTTTAAGGAGCACAGAGTAGAAAACTAAGCCAACTTAAAGCCTGGAGATCGGAATGCGGGTCAGCGGCCCAAGCATTCCCATTATCCTGCTAATCGCAGTCCACGCACTTACATTCCGCATACGCACATACTATATAGTATATATATCTTCAGTGTTTGTCGCAAATAATCGGATAAACGTGGAGATGGCTGGCATTTAAATTAAAGATTGCGCCACCCAAGCACAAAAACTTGTCGACTGGTGGCAGCGATTCCTTCTGGTTAGCACGTGCCATCCCTTTTTCCGAGTCTCGGGACTCGGGTCTCGGATCCCGGATCCCGGGTGCTTGGATCCTAATCCTGGGCCACTTCAATTAAGGACACCGAGGACACCCAGGCCTGTTTTTGCTTATTGCTTGCATTTTTGTGTAGTAGACCCGCCTCCAATGCTAATTAGGTGAAGACATCGCATCACGTTCCGTTCCTCTCCGCCCAAAACTCCCCCATTTAATGAAACATGTTCAATTGTTGTTGCCACACATGTATGTGGTATATATCCTGTCATTCAATCTTGTTATGAAACCCGATACTGTCCTGCGATAAGTAAGACACGCATTTGTCTGTGTACTCAGGCACAGAGAAAAACAAACTACTTCCAGCCCCGAAAATTTGTTTATCTGCAAGACTTAAGGCAACATATGTACATCTCATAACTTATAGTAGTTATTAAGTTTCTCTGATTACATACCACATTATTGTCAATAACAGCGTATGCCAATAATTGCCTAATAAATGCTCTACTGATGCATTTGTAATGCAGCTCTTCATTAGTATTTGGATAACAGATGTAAAAAAATACTTGCATTTTTGGAAATTACATTTGAGAACCAGCAACTGACGTGTCTGGAAAACCAAAGTGCGGAATTAAACCTCCCAGCTGATGAGTACGATATGCAAATTTCGATTGTAAAACAAAAGCGTCATTTCAATCAACTTTTCTCAGTGTCTGGCTGGCGCTGGCGCTGGAATAACTACACACATCAGGCAAATCAAGCGAGGTAATTGGTAATTGCATCTGCATATCTCATCTCTTTGGCCGCACAATTGAAATTGATATCTGGAGCATGGCAGACCGAAAGTACATGCACTCGGAATGGAAATACTTTCGGTTCACCTCAAGCTAAGTGCGACAGTATTTTCGGCTTTTCGCATTGCCAACCAAATAACCAAATGCTAATCTGCATTCCAGAGCCGGCTTCAACACGATTATCCTGCCAATTTGCGCAGGGCCAGCGAACAGGGCCATCATCAATCATGTGAAAGGCGGAAGGACCACAGACCAAAACAACGCTTGCCGTTTCCCCCCTCCCCTTCCAAAATTGATCAATCTCGGCCAGCGCAAAGATTAAATTTAAGTGTTTTTGGCCCAGAAATGAGCTCTAATGTAGCCAAAATGTCCTTAAGGTATTTGAATATCTACGTTCCCATAAATTGAAAAAGTTTCATGTTTTAGTTTCGGAATACGTATACGTATAATGCCCACAACTATGCAGTCACAAACTTTAAATTGACGAACTGCAGGCTGCCCGCATGAAGTATTTTTATTTTACAAACATTCCATTCCTTAACACTTGGCCGTGTTGGTTTTTGGGTTTTTGGTTTCACATCTGTTTACTTCCAAACAAGAATGTTTTATTTTTAAAGTAAATCTACCTTTTTTCCATACGAAATTCGCCATTGTTTACTTGGCTCTGGAATTTAAATCAGATTCGCTACAATGCGGATCAGGGGCATAGAAATGATTGTGTTTCCATTTGGGACTCAAGCCGATTCCCGACTTTGCTGACATTTAAATATTACACCTGTTTACCGCGCCATTTTCCGTTGCTAAAGCACACACACACACACACAAACCCTGAAGCTGGTGTGGAAGAAAGCGGTACATTAATTTCGCCTTTTTAATTGCTGACATTTATTGAACGCTCCGTCGTGTGTTAAATCTACCGTGAGAAGAAAGCAACATCGATGGCGGCGGATGAATTAAGGGACAGGAGTGGAAATACTTATGTATGTATGCACACATTCCAGGTGTGCGTCGGTGTGTGTGTCATTGTGCGAGTGTGCATGTGTTGTTGCCTTTGAGTCTGACTTAAGTGCAAACTTATGCCAATTATGCGAAGATTTTCCCAGAAGGCAACCAGCAACCATTGAATTTTACCTACACGTAGCGAACCGAAGTGGCCATGTAGTACGCAGTGTGTTGGCCATCGATAGCATTAAGGCCTTAGGCTTTAAAAAAGGGTTTCAAATGCACCGATAAGCCATTTAAGCCATTTAAGTGGAATGAATATGCAAACATTCGATTTCAAATGATCGAAGTTAATGGGAACTTGATTGAAATGAAATGGCTCTCTGCTTACGTTGTATTTGGCTTCCGAAGTAAAACTTTTTATTCGCTGTGTACACATAGCTCAATAAGAGCTGCGGGGAGCGGTAAAACTCAAGCAGATTACACGGATCATTAGCTCAAATGAGAAAGTTCACATGTTCTGCTCCTGGTGATGCTGCTGCTGATGCTGATGGTTCACCGGCTTCTCCTTCGCACTAAACACGACGTCCAGCACTTAATCAAATGCAAGCACAGTGCCCAGGAGAAGTCAGCCAAGTGTCCTGCTCGAGGTCCTGGCAACAGGCGATGAATATAGAAAGTAGGAAGTAGAAAGTGGCAAGGGGAAGTGGAAAGTGGAAAGGGGAAGTAGAAAGTGGAAAGGGGAAGTAGAAAGAAGGGATGTGCCAAGGCGAAGATAGATGCTTTTAAGATGGTCAAATGGAGGCGGGCAGAGAAGCGGGTTAAGACGACAGTGTGTACAACCAATATGCCTGATTGAAACGAAGTAACTTCCCAGGACATGCGACAGGACACACACGCAGGACACGTGCAGTTATTTGCGGAATTTTGATAGATTTTCCTGCAACTGATTTGCGCACGTCCCAGCGAAGGCAAAAGGTGAATCAAATGGAGCGGCCAGAGACTATCCTATCCTGTCCTATCATTCTTACTCGTCCTTTTACTTCCTCCCCCAATTCATTTTTTTTTTTTTTTTTTCTTGCCAAAGTGCAAACCAGTGTCTGTCCTGTTCAAGTCGGGCCTTCTGACGTTTACAAGTTTGTTGCCTTACTGATGACGGACCACTCGCAAAAAGAAGGACCCACTACCTAATCTTCGAGCGAAAATATTAATTTGTTTGCTTCTTTCCATTACATTGTTTAAGTAACACTTTTAATATATGAAAATTGATGATTTTTTGCCAAAGGAAGAGTTTACAAAACATTAATCGAATGAATTTTCTTTAACTAAGACCAATTTTGTTTCCATTAATCCCAAACATGGTAAACTTTTTTTCTGTAAGTGCCTATAAAAGAGGCATTACGAAGGGAGTGATGGCGACCACATAAAGAGATATCACATCACGCATGCCGCCAAAAACGATTCTCGTGTCTAAACTGACTGACAGGACACAGCAGCCAGGACACGAGTTCACGCAAAAACAAAAACAAAGTGAAAGAGAAAGGGCAGGACGAAAAGGAAGCGAAACTGGGGAGCTAAAAAGGGGGTCACATATCCAAATATCCATTTCTCACTCATTGCGTTTTTGGCAACTTGCTGCACAATTAAACGGCAAATCACGCCTAGGATTTGGTAAAAGCATCCAGTGCCCAACATCCTCTCCTGAATGCAGCAGCAGCAGCAGCAGCAGCAACAACAATGGATGGGATGCATGGTCCAAACCGCACAGAAAGCAATTGGGAAATGGCACAAAAACTGGAGCATGGCCAAAGGCGAAACCATGGAGAGATCGGAGGCGAGGCGAGGCGGAGGGCAAGAGATTGATGACGAGCACTGTGCGGGAAAAACCACCGACGTTTGAAAGTTGGCCAGAGGGCAAAAAGGAAATTGCAAATGAAATGTACAGAGCCATGGCGCAATTTCTGGGTGAGCGGTGGCCGAAAACTCCGGGTTAAGGGGGCGAGAAAACTGATCAGCGGGGCGGCGGCGGTTGGTTGGGCGGTCAAAGGGACATAAAGAACCAGAAAACAAAAGTTAGGCAAGGACCAAAAAATACCGTGGAAGCCATAAAGCCTCCGGTACTCCAAAAAAGGCACTAGAAAAACAACACGAAATCGGAAAAAGAAACCAAAACTAGGAGTAAGTGAAAAAACAAATGTGATTCCGTGAAAACATAATATATCTATGGCTAAGTGACACGAAAAGATCATAAAAGTCACAGAACACCGCAGATAACCAAGTAATGCAAGCGAAACAAAAAGTTGTATTTATATTCAAGTGTTTGACCGAACTAGATATCACGTATGTTTAGTTCTAATTTGATTGATTGGAACATCGTTGATTGAAACTACTAAGCTCGAAGGTTTTTGCAATTACACCGGTTACAATCTCGAACAAAAGCCTGCACGGCACTATCAAACAAAATTTACCGCAAAAAGGCCAAACACTTGTGGAAAATGTACTCATTGTTCTCGCAATGCTATGAAAGATCCTTGCCAATATCTAAAGCTGGTTCGATTCCATCCCCATCCGGGGAATATAAAATCAAGGGGTTCAAGAGGGGAGCAGAGGTGGGCAAAACTATCAAATTGATTATCCCCAAGCTGGC